CTTTTGTATATTTGAATCTTGTAATTTTTCTTATAAATACAAGGCAATTTTCAGTTACAAAAATATTTTCTTCTTCTCATTTTCATGCTAACTATTTTCACATTATCCTACATTAATATTTTAAATAGAGAAATAAAATGACATTGTCAGTTAATAATCTATTAAAAAAAGAATAAATAGAAATGTCAGTGACACTAATAACATCTGTATCAGCGATCAAAGACCAAAAATGTCATTAATAATAGCTTATGTGGTATCAGAGCCTTTGGAGGGAGATCTTGATACTGCGTGCACTCGATCTTGACACTGACGTTTACCTAAGTCGCTCTTCGTGTTTTTCTTGAAACCCTAATAAGGGGTTTTGGTGAGATCTTTCCATTTTTGAATTATTCTCGTGTATATCAAGCTGTAAATCCATGTTTTGTGTGTTCTGACTTGACTGGGTTTACTGCCTTGTGTGGATATTGCCATGTTTGAATACTGCCCTGTTTTGGTTACTGTATTTAGTTTGTTTTCCTATCGTGTTTGTGTGTTCTGCATTAAGTAGATATTCTAACTTGTGTTTTGAAAACCTGAACTCTTAACTCCTTGTAATTCCTTTGTCTAGAAACCAAGAGTTGTCTAGAATCTGAAGGTTACTTGGATCACAGTCAAGATTCTTGATAATCTTGATTTATAATCTTGATTTCTGAAAATCATTCCTGCAGTATTATATAAGCTTGATTAAATCAGTGTATATAATTCTTTTGCCTCTGATACAATTTGTGATTGTATTGTTTGGATAAATTGTGTACATTGTTATATAATTTTGAAGTGTCTGCTCTTTGTACTTGCAATCTGTATACTCTGTTGTGTCGTTATGCATGGAAAATGGAGGTATAAAATTGTCCTACACCTAATTGTTCTTTAAATTCTCACTAAAACATATTGTCCTTCCAATATAAACAAATCATAAGAGTGGGATACCAGATGTGAAATTTGAAAATGTTGTCCATACCTATTTATACTCGATGTTAAATTCAGATACAAAGGAATGTTTAGATAAATTTATAGTCGACACGTA